AAGAAAGAAAGAAAGACTAACTGCCCAAAGCTCCAATATCTGGCATATGAAAAATAGAAGATGTCATTACATTGGATTAAGCATATGTTTACTTTAGTGCCTGCAGCACAGTTATACCATTGACACAGGATTTCTGGTGTTTGCAAGTTTTGGTTATAATGACAACAAAAAATTTGCTACTGGAGAAAACTCATATGGTTTGGGGTAACTTGTTGGTGCCGATTTCAAAAATATAGTCAGAATTTGTCCATTACCTCTAGATTTTGAGTTATTGTAATATCTCAATATTTTATCAGAACTATGTGAAATACTATGTAATAAACTCATTGCAATATATTTATGCTGTGAAATGAAGTTTATGTGGACAATTTAATGGGTAAAAGGCATACATTTTTTATAACTTCAAACATTGACTGCATTGTATTTGTGTAAAATTCCAAACATATTGTTCATATATGCTATTTGTTCTCGATATAATTGTAGGGAATTGCACCACGTTTACTTCATTCCCGCACTCACCTGCTCCACCCAGGGATTACGAATCCCAGTTTGCTCAGTTTGTTAGAACGTTCGACTTAGCATGAAAGGAGCAGAGTCATACACCTCTCTCTCATCTGCCTCTCACTTACTCAGTTGGTCACTTCACCTCGCTTCATGCACAGTTAAAACAAAGTCTGATCTTCTTTCTCACATCATACTCGTAATATAATCAAATTCTGTAAAACTTTGTTTTTTAAAGTTGTTCAAACTCTAGTTCTGTAAGCATACATTATTTTATATTTTTTTAGAAAATCATTTGAAATGCTGGCTGCCTCCAGTTCAAGTAAAGTCTGAAAGTGTAAAATACACCCCAACAGTTTCTGCTACATGTTTGGAAAATATATTACAGTTTCACTAAGGAAAAACATCACACATAAGATAAAGGTAGTTTACTACCACTATTTTGAGTGAAAAATTGGGGGCCAAGAAAAACATCGAACTCTACATATGTGTGTTGTACAGTTTGCACATCTGGCTTTACATAGTGGTTCAATAAGAAGAGAGCAAGTATGCCATTTTCATTTCCCATGATATGGCGTGAGCCCAAAGATAATTTAACTGACTAATATTTTTGCATTACTAATGTTTCTGGGTATTCAGGTAAAACTAAATAGTACATTAAATATCCAGATATTGAATATGCAATGAAACCAGTACCTCATGGGGATGGTCTTCCAGTGCCACATCCAGCAACGAATTGGGAACAGAACAGTTATCTTGTAAAGAAGACAATGAATCATCTTCATCCAGTAATTCTATTCGTGTGGCACGTCAACATAAACTGCCTCATCTGATCACACAAGAAGAGCTAAATGATCTGATTCGTGACTTGTCTCTATCAAGGCAGCATGGGGAACTTCTTGGATCTCGTTTACAGCAATGTAATTTATTAGCTCCATGAACAACAGTTTCAATCTACCGAAGTCGACATCAAAATCTTGCTTCTCACCACAGCATGCAAGATACTTTGTGTTTCTGCACAAACGTTGATGCATTAATGGAAAAATTAGATACTAAACATCCTCCTCAAGAATGGAGACATTTTATTGACTCATCTAAAGTTTGTCTGAAAGCTGTACTTTTGCACAATGGAAACACTAAGTCATTGATTCTTGTTGCTCATGTTGTGAACATGAAAGAAACTTATCAAATAATGCAGATTATACTTGAGGCCATCAAATATGATCACCATAGGTGGTGATCTAAAAGTTATTGCACTCCAGGCCTGGATATATCAAACATTGTTGCTTTTTTATGTCTCGAAGACAGTCAAGAGGACAGTTCAAAAAGCAGCGAGAGAAAATCATATACTAGGAAAACATAATATCAATTATCAACCTTTAGTGAATCCTCAAAATGTGTTTCTGCCTCCACCTAGGTATTAAACTGGGACTCATGAAGAATTTTGTAAAAGGACTTAACAAAGTTGGTAATGGTTTCAAATATCTGTCTGACAAGTTTCCAAAAATCAGTGAAGCAAAAATTAAAGGAGGTATCTTTGATGGACCATAGATTCGGGAAGTGCTAATGAATGATAATTTTGAAACAGTACTGAGTCAGAAAAAGTTTGCTGCCTGGAAATCATTCCAACTAATTGTCCAAAATGTCTTAGGAAATCACAGAGATGAAAACTATAGTGTGATGATATGCTTGAGAACTACAAGACAATGGGGTCTAGGATGTCACTATTCTTCTTACATTCCCATTTTGACTTCTTTCCAAATGATTTAGGTGCAGTGAGCGATGAGCGTGATGAGTGCTCCCACCAAGATAGTTCTACAATGGAACAGTGCTATCAAGGATGATAGAATCCTGTGATGATGGGAGATTACTGTTGGCTCCTGGAGTGTAAAATTGAGAACATACACAAAAGGCGTAACAAGTCAAGCAGATATTTTGTCACAAAAAATAACATCATGATGAAAGTTTGAACATAGCCTGAATATATTTTCTGTATATAATCTTATTGTTTTTTTTATTAAAGTGGTATTGCTTTTATTTACTATTTTTAAACCTTCTTAAATGCAATTTTCAATGAATTAATAAAGTTATTAAAGAAAAATTTGCTATTTTCATATATATATATATTGAATAAATCTGTCATAACTTAAAAACTCGAAGTGATCAGTAATTTTCAACATGATTTTTTGAATCAGAATCGTCAAATTACCCAGAAACAGTTGCATGTTTTCTAGTAGCAGAGAAAATTTTGTTGTTGTTGCCCTGTTTAAGCTAAACATTCAGAAAGTCGAGGAAAATGCCGACACCAACTTTGAAAACTATCAGGCTAATGTAGTTATACCCATATATCGTGAGGAAACACCAGCTTTATATAGAATGGATACAAATAAGATGTGGCTCCATCTAGCCACACGTCCAAGTCAGAATACCAGTTTCTCTGCCAGATACAAGTACAAATGGGAATTCATGCAATGCCATTTGTAGACATCTTTCACGGGCTTCTATGCTTTTAGTTGCTTAAACGGGCCCTTGAAATAATCATTCACGCATTGTTGATGGACTTTGAAAAACGTGTAATGAGGATAGAAACAACATTAACCTTAGTAAATTGCGCAAAAAACTTTTTCAGTCAAAATTATCGTGCATAGAAATAGTCTATAGCCAGTTACATAGCCTAGGAAGTCGTGTCTATATGGATATCACAAATTGTGGGTATCCCTATGTATTTGGGTCTTAATGAATACCGCAAAGGAGCATAAAAGAGCTCAGAGGGGCTAAAAGAAACATATTGTGTTAACAAGTGAATTACGCGAATGAAAATAATATTATTACCACATCTAGTAATTCTATTCCTGTGGCACCTCAACATAAGCTGCCTCATCTGATCACACAAGAAGAGCTTAATAATCTGATTCGTGACTTGTCTCTATCAAAGCGGCATCAAATTGTTTATGCTCAAAGTAAAACTTAATAACATGTGGAAACTAGTTACTATATACTCAGTAGCTTTGAAGTTAAATTTAACATATCTTATATTCATGGTATCCTTGTGCAACACTATGAAAATTACACGTTTATTTAGGGCCGGTCTAAAGACGACCACACTGGGTGGCATGGTATAAAATACATACATTTAACAGCAGTACAAACGACTATTTTACATCAATAAGCCGTTATTTTTAGTTGTTTTTTTGCTTTGCTTCTATGCTCCTTTTTGACTGAATCTTGAAAATCTGCTACCTCGGCTCTGGTAATATTATTATTAGCTACTCCAGCTCTGGTAATAATATAGTTAGCTACCTCGGCTCTGGTAATATTTTCATTCACACTTTCGTGTAATTAACTATAGAAATTAACAGAATATGTTTCTTTATGGCTCCTGCTTCTGAACGTGTTGTTTACTAAGACAGCTGTAGTTATATTTGTAGGAGCTTGAAAGTGTAAAAAAGTTTGAACTGTGATTACAATTCAGACCTAACACACTCCATGTTTATCAATAGTCTGTCTGTTTATAGTTAAACACAAAGCTACACGATGGGTTATCTGTGTTGTGCCCACCACTGGTATCGAAACCCGGTTCTAGGGTTGTAAGTCTGCAGACATACCGCTGTGCCACTGGGGATGGCAAACAGTCTCTTCAGCGGTAAGATTATTGACCTACAACGCTAAAATTCGGGGTTCGATTCCTCGAGGTGGACACAGCAGATAGCCCATTGTAGCTTTGCTCTAAAACTGACTTATAATTTGGATTTTTAAAGCTTCTGGGGTCTGTTTGATTTGATACAGATTTTCAACGTCCTAAGATTGAGCTAAATCATTCAGTTAAGGAAGTTATAACTTCTTTTCTGTATATTCTGTTATAGCTTGAATTACGAAACGTGGAGTAAGATTAGGGGGGGGGCAAAGGTATTTGGCTTCCGATAATTGTTTAGGGGCCAACGTACCATTTGGCTCCCCCAGTATATCAAAATATTTCTTTCTTTTTCTTTTTTGTATTTCCGAAATAGAGAGAGAAAGGTCGATCGCGTTGTGCCTCTGGAATTATCAAAAACAAGCTATAATTTCTGTGAATCTATGATGTAGAGAAGTCCGTCAGTCTTCACGAGTATAAGGCAGCAGGTGCGTGTGTTGCAGGGCGTGTCACACACCGCCAGTGTTACCCACATGTTACACATCTTCCTACTTCTCTGATGAAACTTCGATCCGGATTAACTAGACAAGTGTAATCAAGCAATTTTTATTGGAGTTGATCCGAAAATGCTACTGTTTTGCGTTATACAGCTGCTTTACTCTATATGATCCATTGATGTACATCTTTAATGAATTTATACGACTTGCATATCCTTACTGCCTTGCTTGATATAATTTATCATTGAAAGCTGTATCTTTTGAATTATTGTAATCTACGGAAAATGTACAAAGTCAAAATATGTCTAACAGTTTGTGTGCCTCAGCTGTCAGGTGGTCTTAGTGTACGTTATCTAGCTGTAGATACATAGAGGGTGGTCATACTTCATGCAACGTTTTTGGAACATGGCGAAAACTGGGCGGTACGTGAAGGATGAAAGGAAAGATCCCACGACAGATAGACACATCGATGCACTATTTCGTCAGCAGACAGTTGTCCAAATACAAATAGGCTGGCTATCTACACTTCCTAAATACTCAGAGCAGAAAGGCACGTTTTGAGAATGTCAAAGGTCACACTTGCAGAGCGTACAGATTTAATTTTGGCAATTTTGCTCTATGGCAAAAATGGACGTAACAGTGCTGTAACAGCTACTGCTTTTGTTAGAAAGAACCCTCAAAAGGCGGAATTCCAAGAATAACGGTAACAACATTAGTGGAACAATCTATTCAACTGGAGGTATAGCAGTTGGCATTATTGAACAACCCTCTGGTGGACAAACGGTGCGTCAAAGAATATCTCTGCCATTTACATTCCTACTTTGTATATCATTCTTCACATACCCTCGTGTTCACAGTGCTCCAAAAATGTTGTCCGAATTATGAAACATCGTTTATATATTTAGTGTAATGATATATGTAACGTTTGCACATGAGTCTGACTTTTGCTGTTGTTAAATTCGAAATGTTTCTAATAATACATTTTGATCATAGAATAATGTCTACCAGTATCCTTCCCTACTGTCACTAATTTACCATATACTAACGTAATACTTACTCTGTTCGTTTACGGTCATTTTTTAATAAAAGTTTGATAACGTGAAGGTCTCCACTTTTGGCAGCTTCATGAATTTTCAAAGTAGAAACGAATTCCTCTTCAGACAGCTGCCTGTAGAAGCTCCCCGTCTCTGAAGTTGTGTTTTCCAAATCATCTGGTATAGGCTGGAGAAAAGTCCTTGGTTTTTATTTTGAATAAAGACTGACAACATTCAAATCTGGGCGAATTATCAAACAGAGTTCATAATATCGATATCAAACCATACGAAACGCATCTGATAAAAAAGTTTTGAAATTAAGTCTGTTGATATAATTTATTATTACTATAATTAGGTTGCTTGAAACTCAACAATTTCATAATACACTAAAAAAAAGAAGAAAGAAAGAACACGACTTATGGTTTATATATGACAGAGTAATTAGGAAATATCATGGAGTGTCCCTAAAACTAAAATTAAAGTTATAGATCATCAAACTAGAGAACAAATCATCGATATTCAAACTATATTTATAGAAAATCCGCTTCTTATAATAATGAGATCGTTCCACCAAAATTTTTTTGAAACCATTAAGAAAAAGTTCCACGCAGACATATATTACCTTAAAATTATAATATTTGGACATAACGACACTGAATTTCAAAAATGTTACCTTTGTCAAAAGACTGATTTAATAATTATGAAGCAATAGAGTTATTTAATGGAAAGGTCAGTTTATTTGAAAAAAAGTTAGAAAGTATGATACAATTTTCCAAATGTAAGTTTAGTTTTAACTTCTAATTAGATATGATAGCCTAAATTACCGATTTATATGTGGAATTATCTATGGATCCATTGCTTGGTCCAACTAATACACTAATACCCAATGGATTTGGCCAGATATTTAAAGTGAGTGTTGTAAAAACATAAACAAAAATATAGTCAATATCATGCAACATGTGGACTAAATCACAGTGTTAAACAGTATAAAAGGTGTTAATTTGAGAGTTAACTTGCGAAATAAGATAAAACATCTATCACAGTTACTTATTATTTACATAATACTTGTTGCAGACTTAAATTGTACACCTTTCGCGTAAACTTTAAGAGCAAAAACTGGTTTCAAATTAATTAACTTAATTTATAAGCAAGAAATGAAAGCTCCCTCTTGTGTATTTTTATGTAGTTAATGGCTAAAAATGCCCTTTTTTGTTGTTGTGAGTTTAACCTTACCTTTCCAGTGTGCATTATGTCACATTCTACTGTGACTGGTGGAGCTAGAAAAGCCGGAGTAGACTTAATTACCAAACGATTTTTTGTTACTTTCGGTTCCGTCTTGACTTCCGTTTCCAGTTGTTGACCAAAGATGACATCGACATCACCATTTTCCTTTTCGTTTTTATTTTGAAGTTCACCAACATTCGTCATAAGTTGTTGTTCAGAATAGTGATGACACTCTTGGCATTCACTTTTATCTGCATCTTCATCATCGTTGTCTTCTTCATCTGTGACCTGGCTACAGCTGCAACAAGAGCCGCACCTACTGGATATCACTTCACTCAAAATATCATCTAAATCAGTGCTTGTGATATCAGTACAAGAATCCTCATCTTCAGTGAAGCTGTCTAAATCGCTACTTTCCGTGGTGTATATTTCAGTAGATTCAGAAGAAGCTATATGTGCAAAGTCATCGGATGTTTGCGAAGGTATTCTTTCTTTTGGAACACAATCTTGCTTGCATATTATATCACTCGCACTTAAAGCAGTAAATTCCTGAGAAACAGATTCTTCTTTTTTAAAACAAAAATTCAAGTCTTCATCTTGATCATTAATATGAGATATGTTTTGTTTTTCTTGTATGTCATTACCATTGACTATCCCAGTCCCGTAAAAGTTACTCTCTTCTGTATGAGAGCTTACGTTTTGTTCACTTATAACACCCACCCCTAAAGTTCTTATGTTTTCCCCAGTTTTTGTTTCGTCACTTTTTTCATATTTTCCTATAGTTTTACAGACTTTTTCGATTTCTGTCTGAGAAGCTTCTATTTTATCTAAAGAACTAGACTTCAACTCTTTCATCGGTACATATTTACCCACATAATTATCAGATTTACTGGACGAATCAGTGACACTTGTAGGTTCTTCTCCAGAACTTTCTCGTTCCTGCTCGTCACTACTACTGCGGTCACTTTCTTCTGTAGTCAAAGTTTCTGTAGTTTCGACACAAGCTTGCACACATGCAGAAGCATCGGTCAGTAAATATTTCGTGTTCATTATTGATTCAGGTACACTGTGCAATTTTGGTTTGTTACTTGGTGATCCAGATGAATCAAGGGCACACTTGTTTAAAGCCGTTGAAGAAGGTTCTCGGAGCAACACCTCAGGATTTTGTGTATTACCTGTCATGGAACATGGAAAAAAACCCATCAAACTAGGCCATGAAACCTCACTGAAAAAAAATAATGTGATTTGAGTATTTACTTTTTCTCAACAACCAACACAAACTTTAATATATATTGATTATATTTTAATTGTTAGTTTTGCATAATATTCAATATATCACACTATAGAGTCAAGTTATTTTATCATTTTTTTATACAGGACCATGTATTTAAACACGAAGAATTAAAATTGATGATTGTTTTTGTAAAAAGAAAGAAAAGAAAAACATTAGAATATATCAGTTTCACATAAGATCGCCCCACAGAACCCAAATACCCTTTTATAGAATGCATATTAAATTCAACATTCCCTCTCTGTCTATATATACATTAATGAATTACTAAGATCCTAGGTTAGTGTAAACAGTTCGTTGTGTGTAGAGGATGTTCAAGGTGGCATTTTTTTCCACTCGTCATGAACAGGTATGTCACGTCTAAGATATTTCTTTCTTTTATTTTCTTATGTTTCTTTTGAAAACATATCAGAACACTTACTCTTATCCAGTACCTGTCGATTCATTGTTAGGCTTAATGTATAACTAGTTAGTGGAATTTTTAAGGCAAGTTGATACTGTTGCTCTTTTTCTTACCACCATAATTGTATTTTCTAACACTAAATTCATGACTCGGAATAAAAATATAAATACACCTAATCACCACAATGACAAGAAGTCCGAGAATTTAACTGAAGAAAAATGTTTATGTTGTGTGACTTGTTGCCAGTTATGATAATGAGAATAGAGTTGGTAATAAGTAAAAATAAAAACCCACTTTAATCACTGAACCGGGACAGATATAAATACAACAAAAATTGGGGACAAAATGAATTAAATTACCGGATACATTAAATTTAACATGAACTTCAATATAAAAAAAGGCAGGATAAACTGTATTAAGAATATCTGTAAACTGAGGATAAACATCAGATTAAAGTATACCTGGTTTTCACACGATCGGTGTAAGTTGGAACAAAGAAAACTTATTAAATACACGCAACTTTATAGGTGGTAAGTTGGAACAAAGAAAACTTACTAAGTACACGAACACTTTATAGGTGGTAAGATGGAACAAAGAAAAC